AAGATCAAAAACTCTGTTGTACTGATGCATGTGAAAAGAGAAACCAAGAGCCGCTTGCCCTCCCATGCCCCTAACCACCCTCCCCCTGGCTCACCAAGTAAGCAGCAGCCCGTGCTTCACAGACCCTAAGGACAAGGCCAAAGTGACCCAACAAGATCCCTGAATGAAGGTGGGCGATAGGGACACGAAGGGATCATCTAACAAAATGCAATTTCTCACCTATCTGAAACTATATTCAATTAGAGGGCTGCATACTGGGGTCCATGCAAGCCATCTAAATGCAAACACGGAATCAGATTTTACAGGTATTCGTTCCCTGCTCCACTGTGGTCACCTTTAAGTTACCTCAGGATATGTAGGTATGTGCTAACGAAGGACAGGAAGAGGTTTTAAATGATATCTACTTAAAATACACCCACACAACAGGCGTTTAATTAACTTCAATGCAGCCTTGCTGGGTTACTGTTGCATACGTAAGAGCGCAGAGTAAAACTCTCAACTCGTGCTGCCCCCTACCAATCCTCACTTCTTTTCTGAGTTTAAGAGATGATCTTGTAATATGTCAGAATTATTTTTATCTACAAATGGTGATTTTAGACTCTACGTCCATGTGTCATCTGTTGCCTGCTGTGGCAGTAGTGACAGGACTCTGTTGCTCTTCTTTTTCTCAACTACCTACGCAATGATAGGAAGAATGTGAAGAAGCAAAACCAAACCCTTATAAACTCACTTTGTATTCCCTGGAGCCAGTGAAAATGTCCTCCAGAGTCTGAAACAGACTTGCTTGGTCAGACCCACACTCTTGCCAAAATGCTGTTTAGTCTGGGGCTATGGGAAAGGTGTGGGGAATAGCATGGCATAAAATATTAGCAAGAGGTATTCTAAATGAACCGGATTTGATTTAAGGTCATCCCTTTGAATGCAAGCTTGCGACAATTTTCTTTAATAAAACAAAGAGTGTTTATACAATTCAACCAAAAGAAAAACTCAAGTTGTAACCGAATAAAACATTGAAAGCATTATCTGAAGAGAAGTGTTGTAATCTGTTTTCTCATGAGTAAAAGAAGAGACAAGAGAATAAAGAGAAAATAAAAAACTCCATAGTTATTTTCCCTTTTATTCAGCATACATAGATTCAGCATACATAGATTTTTTTTTTTACATAGATTTTTTATGCTTATAAGCATACATTATATTTTTAGGTATAAAACCGCTGAAAAGACTTTTAGCTGCTCTACAGACCAGCACAGGTAGAGTTCTGTATTTGTAATTGCATATCTTGTAATATCATTAGCATCATCAATTTAATCATTCTTTTTCCTATGCTTGGCAAATAAGACTGTCTTAGAATCATATTAAAAAGCAATTAGAACAGAGATTTGTGAGAGAACAAAGGACATTTTTGACAGTTATGTTGACAATATTTGTCTGATAACTTCTTCCTTACTGTTTAAAGAGAAAAATATTCTAAGAGAGAATAGCTGAGATTTATTTTTATGTATAAAATAGCTCCATCAGGAACCTATTTTTAATTTTCATTCATACCACACGAACACTACATAAACAACAATAAATTAAATGGGGATTCAGAAAACAAGGGGTCAAGTAGGGAATACAAGATTTGGTCCTGACATAAGAAATTAATGAATAATGGAGAGCCAAACAGGATGCTTTACTTGTTGCTTATCTTGAAGAATTTTATCCAAATGATGGAAAGTCTCCTATAAAAGAGTATCTAGGTTACAATCTTCACTCTTCCCTAACTGAAAAAAGTGCATTGAGAATAACCTTTCTCAGCTTTGCGTTGAGAGTTACTGGTTGCTTAAGGGAAATGAAATGCCCTCTGAGGGCCATCGTGTCTGTTTAAATACTCTGTGTAAAGCTATAATGAATCTCTGTAGGAAAGCAAAATGTCAACATTGAAAAATGTGAGCTAACAAAATCCCTATTTTTGTGAATTATCATTAACACTAGCAAAAAAATTAAAAGGTTTGTACTTACAGGAACATCAACGTATTTTGCAGCTGCTTTCACCTTTAGAAAATTAAAAATAAAACAACACACGGTAAGTGCTTATCATTAAGGATTGTGCTTAATTTTAAATTCAGCAACATTAGGAATTCAGACACTTACAGTGAATGAAACTAATGATGAGAAGAAAGTGCCTTCATCATATCTTGACAGTTTGGACAGCACACCTTCTAACACTGAAACAACCTGGAGGAAAAGCACAAAACAAAATCCAAATGAACTCTCCCTCTGCCTATTACTGTGCAACAAGGCGATGCAGTCTGCATCTACTGTATTTCACAAAATGCTGAAATCATAGCTTTTTTTCAGTTTCGCAAACTTACAAAACAGTTACAAAATAAACTGATGGAAGTCACAATGTAACTGCTGCAGAAATAGAAACCCAATCCCAAATTCTCCTGGGGGTAAGTTTGCTCGCTCCTATATTGAACTACAAAATTAGAAGCAGCAAAGTGGCAAGGATTACCTTCTTATCTTTATTATTCAATAGAAATTTAAGGCTAATTTTATGCAGCAATGTGGTGGCACCACTGTTTTCTGTCAGTCCATCTTCAGCAACAGTATGTGTTGTTGAACTATTACTGTATGGCCAACAAGGCACTGGGGTAGGTCTTAAATCTCTAGTATGTGGTGCCTTTGCCCAGCAGTTTCACCTTTAATTCTCTGAGCAGCATGACTCTTCAATAATCAGCATATTGTAAAGATCCTTTGCCCAAAATTTATTTTTGGGGCTACAAAAATCTCTCAGGCCTTTGCATAAATTCCTCCAAATTGCTCTAAAAGCAAAGAAAATAGCTTCCTACGTTCCTTTGGGATGTCATGTGGCTCAAGTCCTTCGTGATGTAAAACACAAAATATCTGTCAGCAGTTTCATGTGTGCCCATTTATTTTTCACATATGAATTGACTTCCAGTTTATAGAAAGATTGTTTTAAAAGTCATCACTTGCTCCCAATACAGTCATTCCCACAACCGTGAGTATCATTTTATGAGTGTGAGGACAGAACAAAATTCCATCTGGCATGCTGTTAATGGGCACTGTAACAGTGTCACAACAGTGTCACCTCCAGAGGAACCGAGACCATCACTTTACAACAAGCCCTGCTCTTAACAGTTCAAAGAGCAAGAGCAAGTGCAAACCTACATTTGTCATTTATCAATCCAGCCTGTCATATTTAGAGTGATTAATTAAGACTGTAGCATGTAAGTGCTGGTTAAGAAATAAAACTGCACCAAAAGCTACCCGAGGGGATGGCACTTGTGTGTGTACCCCATGCACAGTTTAACTGGAGCCCTTTCTTAGGCCAGGTAACCTCTGCTTTGGCATCACAAGACTGTGGGATGCTGCTGTACATACACTGCACTCTCCATACTCATTTTACCTGACGGACAAGGACTCTTCCTGCAAACAGATGCTCAGTCAATACTGTCAATCAAAGATCTACCGTGAAAAGGGTTGATTTCCCTTTCACACAGCACATATACATCATCAACAAATCAAAGGCAGCACATCCACATCATCAACAAATGGTTTTAAGAAATTGGAGGTAAAAGAATTTAAGGCTGTCTCAAGTTTGGGCATTTAACTTGGTTACGGAGCTGGTCACTTGTTTTCTGAGGTCTCACTGGACAGACCTGTGAAGCTCTAAGAGCATTTCTGGGTACGCTGCACATTTGCTGAAGCAGCTCTCCTGAGATACACTGTGCTTCGCATCAGTTTCGTGCAGTTCCTGTGTTTTGCTTAATGCTTTAGCTTGGAAAGTTTTGCTCATATAATTCACTGTCTAATCTTTACTAGGTATAGTCTCACTGAATTAAGAGCATTCTTTTCATTTTCATAGATGACTGTTACAGCTAAACAAATGCCAAAACACATATCTCATTTAAACATGAAGGAAACATTTTAATTTAGAGGAAAAGGCCAAGAAATAATTGAAATGCACTAGATAAAAGATGAATGTACATGGATATTATGCACATTGACAGACATTTTTCTTGATCAAAATCAAGAGCGAAGCCTCAACCCTACTCTCTGTCCTCAGCAACTTTCCTCCTTGAAAAGGAAGCAATCAGGATGTCACTGGCATTTCACATCTCAAGTGAGAGGCTGTGGTGGTTAAATGGTTAAGCTTCTAATGAGCAGCCAATGACAGAAAACATTTGTTCCCACTCTGGGCTTCCAACATCTTCTGATGGCATATATGCTAACTAATAATGTAAAAGTCCTCTATATTTATTTGTAATTGTGTCTAGAAACCCCTGCATATTCATCCACAAGGAAGAGGACTCTTTTCTTGCATCCTCTATAATCTCAGCTATTAAGAACAGTTTAATTACAGAGATGAATTTAATTACAAAGATGAGCATTATACTCCCATTACATTCCCCTCTCTCCACTTCTTCAATAACACTTAAAAATCAATTGACAGATTAGTCCTGAGTGATGACAAGCTGCATGTATAACTTGAAACTCTTGAACCATTTGTACTTATGATTACACAATCAAAAAAAAAATCTTTTGGGCGGGAGAAGTGTTTGTTTTTAAATATTTGTCAATAATTGGACACAACTGGCTTAAACTTCCAAAAAATTACAAAAACCTCCTCTTCATGTGCAAGCAGGCTGGATGCCAATCAGAATAGAGATCTCACTCCACCCCCCACTATCAACCTGTGAACAAATGAAAAAAAGGCATATTGAAAATAAGCTAGCAGTCTTATTTGTCTCTAACTCACAGATTGTCAACGTATATCTAATACATGTTATTCTGAAAAGCAGACATCTCTGGGTAGTTCGTAAAGAACAGATAACATCTTGGAAAATCTTTCTATTCTCCTAGTGTCATTTACTGTATCATTCAAAGTATTAGTTACAGAAAGCTTTTTCTTTCATATTAAGCACGTAAGATTTTTACTGCAGTAGAGATGTGACAGTAACCACTAGACATTATTTAATTTTTTTTCACTGATTTTCCAAATATTTATAGCATGTAAAAACATATTTTCTCTTTAAGTGTTAAGAACTGCAAAGCCATTGTCAAGAATACATACAAAATATTTTTAAATTGATCAGCTTGTGGAGCAAAAACTCATTTAAAATATATATTTTCTTTATCTTTAAAATATAACTCTTTTGCATGCTGTTTATCTCTGAACATGAAATAATTTAAACACTTCTTATGATATAAGTTTTCTGAAGAAAATTAAACAAAGCATCAAATTAAGGTGCTAGTACTAAAGATAATATGGACATAATCATGTTCTATCAGTTCTGCTAGGTCTAGCAGTTCTCATCTGTAATATAATACATGAGAAAAGCTAATCTGATAAGCAGGGTGCATAGATAGCGTTCTTGCAAAACATAAAATTTAATTTCATAAATTCAATGTTATTTGGATGAGTACTTTCTACAAATTACGTTTCCCTCCCCCAATGTCATTACTTAAAGTATAGAAAAACTGTGTGATATCCAGACATTTCAGAAATTCAACTGAGAAATATTTTATTTTATTATAAATAAGAATCTAAATTCTTTTACCTTTGAAACAAGAAGTGAAATAATTTCTTTAACAGTTTCTTCAATCAAGTCATCTATTTTTGAATGGTATTGTTGCTGTATTTCAAAAGATAAAGAAAGCATTAGTATGTATATGAACACACACTTTTGTCATAAATCCTAAATGCTACAAAGCTGATAACCCTGCCAGATCAGATTTACTTAAAATTATCATTTTGAACATCTGAAGAATAAACCCTTGAAAACGATCCACCCAATCAACACTTGCTTACATTCTGTGTCGAAAATTTTCCCATGTACACTGTTGAGTTAAGCAGCTAATGGGGTTATTATTTAGATGAATTGAGTTCTTATTCTTATTCAGGCGAAGGAATGTGAAGGATACTTTTTGTCTTCTCCTATATAATTAAGGTGGCCATGTATTTTTCCTCTAAAGGGTTGGTTTAGCAGGGAAGCAAAAAGACTAGAATAAGATTTAATTAATACAGCATTTCATGTCTGACAACTCTCATTCATAAGTTATTTTAAATGTCCTCTAAAAATAAAATGAGCCCCAATTGTTCTTCCTAAAAGAGCCTTTTTGTTAGCACAGTGAGCTGCAGTTTATACAAAACTTACAATATGTTCAAGCAAGGGCAAAATTAAAATTTCATCAACAAAGCAGAATAGATGGTAACAAATTAACAGGCCATAAAAGACATAATAAAACAGACTTCATTCTCCACAGCCTTTTTCTTTCTTTTTTTTTCTTTTTTTTTGTTATAGAAGAAGGTGCCTTTAAGTAAATGCTATTTAAAATAAATCTGAAAGACTTTTTAGATAATACTACAGAGTTCCCTCCTGAAATTAGCAGGAACTAGGGATCCCATTCTGTCAAGGAGGCACATCAATTTAAACACTAATTCTTCCTTCAGAAACATTTATCTGACAGCAAAGATTGTCCCCAATAGCCACTTCACAGAAAATGTGACTTGTAAAGACTAACCCTATCTTCATAGTTCAAGGCTACTTGGAATAGCTAACAACATAATGCCTGGAGTAAAAGTACTGAGGTCAGTATAAACATTAGCCTAACTTAGCAACTGCTAGCTGAATAGTTTTCAGAGTTGTAAGTTTTTGAAAGCTATTTTTCTTCTGTCTCAAAGTTGCTATACAGATCAAAACATTAAATCTGGTCTACTTAATATATTTAGGAACAATTTTCTGAGCAGTACACCTACTGAATCTGCATTTAAAATAAGAGAAAATAAAACTGTGAGATTTACTCACATATATGTTTCTATTTCAGTTATTATTTACTGTTCTCAAATCATGTTCATTTTTGTTCTTAATTTCTGCTTTCAGTGATTAAAAACACTTGGAAGAGTATGAAGATACATCTCATACAAATATTAGCACACCTTGCTGATGAGTGAAGGAACATATTAGAAATATATCAGAAAATCTGTCAGTAGTTCCAGGTATATTTATTTCTAATTGTTCAGTCATTTCTTGACCAATAATTTCCTGCTTTGCTAAGCAGGTAAATCACCCGCAACTGCCTGTGACATTTGTTGATTACACAGCCTCCAGAAGGCATTGGTTCCTTATTCTGTGAAAATAATAATTATTTGCATCTCCAAAGATGCATTGGAAAAGTATACATATTTCAATGACTTGTGAAAAAAAACAGCTGTCCCTCTTATAACTCTACTGTATGCTAAAGTAATGAATCTAGGAATATTCTGTGAGGAATTCCTATATATTTCCTCTTTCTTTTTATTATCATCACAAGACAAGCTAATTTACTAGCAATGGAATATAGTCAAAAAGGAAGATGAAACAAATCCCATCAAATTAAAAAAAAAACAAACCCACAAGCTTCCAAAATCATGACATTGCTTTAGAAATAATATCTGATTCTCTTTTTTACCCTGAGTTTCATTTTAGGTTACATTTTTTTTTCAAGATTTATCTTGTAAATTGCAAGATTAGAAATTTCTTCAAGCTCTTCTCCCCAACTTTCAGGAAGATAACAGCCCCCTCCGCAAAATAAACTGCAGATCCTCATGGAAGATTGTTTGACTTCAGAAGACGAGCTGCTAGGAAGATGGCAAGAACTGTAGAACTCATGAAACAGTATGAGCTGGCAAGGTTGCACGCATGGTCCTGAAATCAGCATCTGTAGGAAGCATTTCTGCTTCTGCCAACCTTGACAAGAGCACACATATCTGTAGAAGGTTGTCTTTATGCTCCTCTGATGGCTGATTTGGCCAAAGTCCATGTGGGGTCTGACTCTAGACAATTCAGCTCCCACAGCTAAATGATTCGAATGCACCTTGCAGTCTTTCAGCATGATCCTTCCCACACTCCCTCTGCTGAAGCCGATAATCCAGAATGTGTCTTTTCCTCTCCAATTGCTCTTGAGTACTTCCCAGTAAAACAGCATGTGCAGCTACAGGAGTTACCTGGGAGAAAACTATGCTTGGTGGCAGTGTGCCATGGGGTGTAAACAAAGAGGACTTTCTTTTCAGGACCATCTAGTGAGTCTTCCAAATATGGCTCTCTGCTCCTAGACACTGTCTCAATATCACTATCCGGAAAGATACTGCACAAGTCCCTGTAGGCACATCTACTTAGGCAGTTAAATGAAAGTCTTATTCAAATTTTATGAACCAAAATAGCTCCAGAACCAAAGTTCATCAAATTAAAACCCACTTTTCCCTAAATGTTTCTATAAATTCACATTTTTTTCATAAATTCTCTTCATAAATTAATATGTTCCACTGAAATAAAACATCAGTCATTTCTGCCCCAAACTCAGAAATAATTGAAAAGTAGTACCTCTCTTTTATGACTATGGTAGGTACTAAGAAGCTGTAATTCTGAAACAGCTAAAATAGCTTTTTCTTCTATATACATTCTGCTATGAGACATTCAACAGTAAGGATAAATTTACTCTGTTTATACTATTTTAATTGCAAAGAAAAAAAAACTCCAAACAAATAAAACTCTTCCACTCATATCTAAGTACTTTTCAATGTAGCTGGCCCCATCAATGTTTCCTATTTGATTCTTGACTAGTTTTCTCAAGAGCACTGATGTTGCCAGACTATTGCAACATCTAGATTATAAAGTTTTAAGTAAATAGGTTTTAAATAGTTTATCTCAAGTTAAATATATATACATATATATATATATATATATAAACTCCCCAAATCTTCTGATGATTGAACGTTGCATGATAGGTTTCTGTTACTGTTGCCACTTATTTGACTGAGAATATATGGACTGTAGAGAAAGAGCACCTCGTGGCTTCTAGTTCATGAAGGAATGAAGAAGAAAGGAAGAAAGGATGTTCAGTATGTAACAACAAAAAATTACATACACTGAATCTAATAAGTCAGACAAACCAAATTTTGAGAAATAGCAGCAAATTATAGATTACTCAGCTGTCTCTTTCCCCTACACTCTGTGAATTGCCATCCTAGTGGTATATAAAGCAAGTAGCTGGCACCAATAGTTAGTCTGTAATTTGGAGAGTAGATAAGGCTATTCTCATCTAGAGAACGGGCTTCTCAGACCTTCCTAGAGCAACTACCAACCAATGCACATGGCATAGAGCCAGCTGAGTTATGACTTAAACACAAGGTAATGACTGAACCCATATACCAGTCAGGCTACTTCTCTTAAATTTAAAGAGGATATTCAGAAAAGGCAGGCGCAAAGCCTTTCTCAGTGACAGACTTCATGATTATTGATGAGAGTGGACACAACTAGAAGACATCTGGAAGAATGGTGACCACTGTATTAAGCAATACTGGAAAACCATAGGATTCTAGATCAAATTTAATCTCTGAACTTAAGGTGCTATTATTACTTCCTATGAGCAGAATGCCCCACTTACATGTTAAGTAAGAATTCTCTCCTATCTCATAACACAGAGGGAAAACTTTCACATCTGTCTCTACTTAGAGAAATCATACGATTGCTTAGAGCTCTGTATAAGGCATGAAAAAATCATGCTGTTTTCAAGGAGATATTTGCATCTAACCATCTAATTAAATAATATATTTGATAAACTGCAGAATAAACTCTAGAAATAGTCCGATGTAAAGGTAATATGGGAAAGGTATCAAGATCAAGTGGCCAAGTAGGATTAATTAGAAATGTTACAAATCCTATAAAGGGGCTAGAGATGCAACTTAGGATGTTAAGAGATGTTATTCTGCCTTTTTTTCACAGATGAGGATGATTTGAGAATTAAATGTCGTCGTCAAAGAGTTCAAAACAGTTGTGATACCAAGCACAAGCAACTGAAAAGCCTATTGTGTCTTACTCTTCCAAAAAGGCCTTGAGAATGGGAGATATCAGATGACAATAATTCAAATTTTGTGAGGAAGAAGTACATTTCCATATTATCTCATCATTTCTGATATGTGAAGAATTTGAGAACCCTTTGCCCTATGAGGTGGATTGGAATGAAGTTTAATTTGGGGATTTTGAAAGACATATGCATTTCATCACAGATATGTTAAATTTTAGAGCTCTTGCACTGAAAGGAAGCACAGGAAGCACTGGGTGTCCTGGTCAGAGGTCAGCAGGGAATAAGGGCTCTATTTCTGTTTTACTAGTGTGAAGAGTGAGCAGATTTCTGAAAAGGATCTGGTGAGTGTCCGCAGTCCAAAAGGGAATGCCAAAATTTAGCTCTGACAACTGGATGGCAATACAGACATTCTCTGCAGATGCAGAATAGGAAGGGGAATGGTATGTCTATGGAGAGCAGGCCTATACCATCTGTCTGCAGGTGTCTACGAAGGTATTACTTTTCCCTTAAGAAGGGTGTGCATGGATGCATTTGCAGGTTAGTGCTCAGGCACTAAGTGAAAGATGCGTCAGCACAGCCTAAGGTGAAGAGTTGCTTTTTCAGGCAGACTTCTGCTGTACCTGAAGCAACCTCGTTGTTATTGTGTGTCACTCAGGAGTGAAAACATCCAAAAATAAGACAAAACATGGTATCTGAAGAGCAGAAGAGTGAAAAGTTGTTCTGGACCACTCAAAGAGGATGAATGAAAAAAATAATTTAGAAGCTGATGACCAGTGTCTAGCAGCTAGTCTGTAAAGGACTACTCATTAAAGCTACATTATCAAATTAGCAAGAAAAGCAATACACCATTCTGAAACAAACAATGGTGATTAATAACCAAATAAAAAATGTAGGTTAAAAAAAAAGGAAAACACTTACCCACTGACTAGCAAACTGGTTCATGGCACGGAAAACCAAAAGGAAAAATAGAGATGACAGGGCAGAACAGGAAAATGATGAATATCTCATTAAATTGGGAAAAAAAAAAGAAAACAATTACATGGAATACAATAATTTTAAAAGATGAGCCAATAAATAATGAAGAGCACTGTACAGAGATGGAAAATGAATAGACCAGTATGACCAAAAAATGCAGGAGTGAAACTCCTCAAAGCAGGCATACTTTTTTGTTGACAAACGTTGACATTGACAATTCAAAAACAAATTGAACAATATTGCACTGCAAGGAGCAGTTTTAATTTTATGCTGGTAATCTCACCAGTCCACATGGCAAAGCCTTTTTGACTGCACAGATTATTTCCACTAAGGAACAACATATGAAGGGGAGTAGACAGTGAAATCTACATATCCTTTAAAAAAAACCCCTCAGTGTTCTGTGGAGGACTGTGGAGAATCTACAGTCCTGTCAGTAGACTACTGCCAAAGTAGTCTCAAATTAAAACAAACTCATTAAACTACCTGGTTATTTCTTTCTTCAGTTTAAGATATTTGCAGCATGAAGATAGGTACAAACAAATGCCAGGCATATGAGCAAATTAAAAAAAAATATTACCCAGTTCTTCTGCAGAGGATAATCTTTTAGCTTTATTTTACTACTGTGAAACAGACCTGAAGTGGGCTGATTGTCTGCTGTTACCCAAGAGAAATTCCTGCAGAGACTTTCAGCCAAGAAATCTTCTGCATTTTTTACAGATGCACAGATAAAATCAGCAAAATGCTCTACATCTTCTCTGACGGAAGATAAGAAGTTGTACTTTGAGTGGTGCTTTGAGTAAGCAGTCTATGCATGCTTCCCAAACATGATACAAGTTTGAAATTAATCTATCGAGTATGAGATATTTCAGGTTAACTGAACACAGAATTGAACATACAAAATTCCACTTACCTCTTGTCCGCCATCGAGAATACAGAGTTTAGCTGTCTGTTTTTTGGCATCAACTAAGACATTAAACATTGTGCACAGAGAAGAAGGAATACGCAGGTCTGTTGATTTGTTTGTCTTTTGTAGCTTCAGTTCAAATGCAATTCTTGTTCTGTTTATTAAAACAAAAATTCATGACATGAATAATTCTCTAGCAATTTGGAATAATGGGTGCATAAATCCATAAACCTTACTAAACATTTTGACTAAACAATATGCATAGACATGAGCAGATTTTAGAAATGCATTCCTGTAAGTGCAGAATATTCACCCATTCAATAGGCAATTGTACTGATGGTGATCTCAAGGTTCTGCACTCCCAACTTTAAACCGATCATTCCAACTATACCTTTTGACACAGGCTTCTATCATGTCAGTGGCCATGAGTTTAAGTCTTTGCTCTAAATGATGAGCAAATTCTGGTTCTGGCCAGTGAAGATCAAAAACAAACATTTGCAGAGCATCCAGTTTCCAAAAAAGATCTTCCGACGTAGCTGAGCCATTGCTGTAAGACACAAAACAAAACAAAAGCCCCAAGAAACAGAAGATAAATGTATGGATGTCTATTCCAGCCCCCAGATTATTATTCAGGTAAATAAGATTTCCTTCTCACCCCATCTTCCTCCTTCATGTCACTGTTATCTAGTAGCACAATTGCTCTTATTTCAAGAATGCGAAAATGGTCACAGAAAATTTACACTGAGGTGAAAGAAGTAGAGTTTTCTCATCTGTTAGCTAAGAAGTATGACAGGTTAGGGAGGTGGTAAGACAAGGACCACAGAAAAATGAAGTAGCTCAAATTTCAAATTCAGACAGAAAAATAATGGCTGAAGGAATATTAATAAGTAAGGACCTTTTCCAAAAGAGTGAACATTTTGCATATATATTTGCTTGCTATCACAACTCAGGTAGGTAAATTGACCAAAGAAATGAGGATGTTACTAGTAATATCTTGAAAGAGATATCCAGGCAAACACTCTCTCGATAAATGCTCATTATTTCTAACTGAGGGAATAACATCATATCCCAGGGGAAAACAAGAACAGACACTAATTCAAGGAAATTTTTAAACAAGTAGAACAAGGGATTCATGTGACTCTACATAATCCCATGTTAACCACACAATTTTAAAGATGTTCTTGGATTCTGAACCAAGTGATAACTTTTAAGATGCTTGTTTGTGTTAAGGGACAGCAACTTGGAGATAATCTTAGCAATAGCTATAGTTATGCTTCCACTGCAAATGTAGATTACGTGTATTCTTATGACATGTTGTTTTTTCAAGCCTGGGCTCCTGTGGAGCATCACACTCTTCTGCACAGCATTCCAGCATGCTCCAGTGCTCTTAGAAACACAAACACTTGAAGCTCGGCTTGGCAAATTCAATTCAGATTCAAATAACTTACATGTATTACAACTGCCATTTTCTTTTTTCTACTTTTGACAAAAGAATATATTTATCAGAGTGTTAAGTGGCTAAAGCTCTAATGGAAGGAATCGGTGAGCTCCAGACACTGCAATGTCAGATTGAAAAAACAAAGGGCAAATAATCCCAAACCAGAAAGAATTTATATTATCTGATTGAATAATCCATGTCCTCAAACACAGCAGCACTAACACCAGTTCAAACCAGGCTAGCCATGCTCGTGATAAACTGAAGCAAAGGCTGAAGCAGCCCATATGTTCAGGCTCCGCAGAGCTCGCAGAGATGCGGCAGGAGCGCTACTTTGGTCTTACAGCATCCCACCATTTTCCAGATCCATACATCTTCCTGTCCCAGTGCTGCTACTACCTCTGAGCCATGGCTGTCCTCTGCAACGCTGGCTTGGTGTCACAAAGGCCACACTACGGACACAGGTGAGACAGCCAGGGCTGGGCGATAGGTAAGAGCTGACAGCAACAAGTTTCTCCATCTGAGAGAAAAAATGGGTCCTTCTGCCCAACTTTGGTTTTAAATGGTACGTGTTTTAATGTCTCCATTATGTATAGAAGTGTATTCCACAATTTAACAGAAGCCTTTTCTCATGTTCATATTTTTCCCACTTATTTTAAGCCATAACTGTTAACTTTCTACAGCACTGTATTCCTGAAATAAAACAGGAAAAACTAGCAGAAGGCCCATGAGACTGCTAGGATTACAACTTGCATAGGGATATTACCTGTTAAGGTTACAGTTGAACAGAAAACACTTCCACATGCTGCTTAGTTTAATTAAGAACATGAATAATGAACCACTAAAACTCCCCAACAAATCTACAGTTCTATTAGACTGTTTCTTCAGCTATATAATAGGAAAATATTGAGGATTTTTAAAATATCTAATATATTTGTTGGCAGTGAGTAAAGTTGTGGAGGCTACATCGCACTCAATATTTGATTCTAAAGTGACTAAGACAATTTATGTGAGGAATAGAGTAAAAGAAGAGACAAAATATATACTGATAGCAGTATACAGATATACAGAATCTCTCTATATTACACTTGATAATAACATATATTTTATAGAAGACAATATAGACTTTCTTAAGAAACAGAATTACCATTTTTCTTTATCAATTTGTACAATTTAGCCATTTTTTTTCTTCTTTAATACTTTTTTTCTTTTAGCCTAATGGAATTCCAAATGAAATTCTTTAAGACTCAGGAGGACTCGTGTGTTCTCAATAACATCAATGTATTCTTATGCACGTTCGCTCCTCGGTAGCCACTTAATTTGGTTTCATTATACTACCAAATAACGGTTCCCAATTCTAATAAATGTAATAACGGCCACAGGTTCATGAAACACTATTCATTCTCTGAGAAACACTAATTCATTCATTCTCTTTTCATATGATTTTGAGGTCCCATTCTTCAATTTACTCGGCATTGTCCAATGCCATTTGAATTTTTCTAATGTACTATTAGTAGTAAGATGAGGAAGGAAAATAATCTACTACAAGTGAAATAAATTGCTCCTAGATCAGACATCTTGGTGAAAATGTCTAATTTGTTCGTTAAATGTTGCAGGGAATTGAGATTGCAATCAGCTTGCTACAGTTCTTTGTACCAGCTACTTGCTTTATTTGTACTTTTAGATTTTTTTGGCCTTTTTACAGCAAAGTATTAGAAATAATACTAATCTCCAGCACATCTTTCAATACCCTGAAGCGGTTCTCCACTCAGTAGTTGTTTTCCCTAATAGTTATGTCACTTCAGTTCTTAACACTGTTAGACTGTAACACAAAGAAGAGCCACATTCAGATGCTACACTTTACTGATCCTATTCTGACAGCACCTGTGAGGAAAGACTGTTTCCACTGCATGGGAACAGGCAGGAGGAGCATAACACCAAAGCATCCCAAATCTACGTACATTACTGCAGAACCATTTTGTTGTTGTTGTCAGGAAAAAAATTATTGCAGGTGGAAGGGTTTTATTTGAACAGTTATTTAGTCTAAGGAATGGAATAACACTGCTCTACCAGGAAATCAAACTGCTAGTTCATGTTATTGCTACAATCAATATAATTGTTTATATATTTAAAATTAAACATGAAGTCAAGTGCTTTGCTGATCAACACTTAATCTTTCACTTTCAGTATTTTTTGTGCAAAAGCTATTATCTGTCTTTTTTTTTTTTTTTTTAATTAGACCGTGGCAATAGGAGAAGGTCAGCAACGGCAAACATTATGCCCAGCCTCGTTTTTTTTTTTTTTTTTTTAACTGCCATTTAACAGCATAGTTGGTCACACTTTACCTGGGAGATTGTAAGAGATGATCTCAAGAGGTCCATTTCAGTTTAAATTATTCTATGACTTTTTGTCTTTGATATACCAAACACAGTAAGAATAAAAAGAAGAACAAAAAAACACAAGGAGCTTCAAGCAATTTCTTAAGCACCTACTGACAACGGAGAGACACAGCTTTCTACTAGGTCTGCCAGCTACCTAAGCAGCAGCAATTAGGCAAGCAGTCTAGTAAGAGAGCACACCAGCTTTGAGGTGCCACACACTTGACTCCAAAGTAGGTGTAGAATATGTCACTTCTTGCCTAGCTGCCACACTCCTCAGAAAAGCTTGGGATATGAAAATAAAGCAGAAATATTAAATATCTAAGGGTATACTGAATCAATCACAAGACGCAAAATCATTGGTCTGTCCATTCCTATAGAATTCACTAAGAGTGATTTACTAATGGTGATTTAACAAATCACTGCATTTTTTTTAAGATTAGCAGTCACTTATTTTCATTAGTGTTTTGTGAGGAGTGTTTTCAAAACATAGGTCATCAAATTTATTCCCTTTGACAGCCCCCAGCTTGTGAGCTCTAACTCCTTTATGCATAAACATATTTATAGCTCAGAAGGACAATTGAGAATTTTTTCAACAGAAAAGAACCCTCAATTATTACAGTCAATGGCACTTTTCATTCTCCACCAACAATGGCAGAAATGATGGAAGAGAACTATGACAAGAACTTGTGTATGATCCCTTAAAGATGTTAGGAAAACTATTCCCTCATGCTTACTCATGTTTAGTTCAAGACTAGGCAACTTGACGTTCAAGTAACCAAATCATATTCCTTGATTCTTCTTTCTTTATGTATGAAAGTATTTTTGGAAGAAATAAATTTGGCCCATAATTAAATATGGCCCATATACTTGAGAAAGCTAAACAGGAACTAACTGTACTTGTACTTGAAGTCAAACCTCCTTTTTTTTTTTTTCCACAGAAAATAGACATCCTCAGCATTTTCACAACTCTACCAGTACTATGGCTCTACCTCTAACTACCCATCCTCCTCAACACGAACCACAATCTCCTTTCACTTTAGTACTGGCAATCACCATGGCAGGAACCTATGTAGCCCTACAGACACAGCTCCTGATAACTGCGCTCAAGTGTGGCACTCACAAGCATGCACGAGTCCACAGAGAGCCTGGGCAAGAGGGCTCAGACATATTCAGAAAAGATCCCTTCATATCACTAGCAGAACACAATGACTGCTCCAATCAGTCTCTGTAGCCAGTAAAGCTGAAGGAATATAGTTGACACATTTCCTTCGGTAGCTGCCATTTCTGGGCAGAAGAAAGAGCAAACTGTGCCTCTGAGAGCATCTATCTTATCCATATGTTTTCTTAGTCTTGAGTTTGGCTGAACTTAAAGCACTAAAATGGCAGACAACCCCTGGTCTGCATTTCTAATATTTTTGGTTAGTGAATTTATCTCATGTTTGTACTGAAAATAAACAGCATATAAATTAAGCCATAAATAATTACCATCGCCCATAAATCCAATTTTATTCAGATTAAAAAGAGTCAGAGATATGAAATTTAAAATATGAAAAGGACCACAGGTGCAGTTTAAAGTAGCACATTTGAAGTAATGAATAATTAAGAAAAAAATCATTCTGGATGATTAAGAGCTTTTATGCAATATTCAAGCTTTTTTATCCTGTCACTATGTTGTATTTAGCCAAACCGAGCTACAAATCACAGTGCTCTACATGTCTAGCCAAGCTGTCCTCTGAGTTGTCCTCTCCTGAGACCAATCAAGAAAACCAGACTACTACACATAGCACTTTCCCCTTTTAATATCCCTCTTTCCAATGCCCAATAATAAAAGGTTAAGCAAAACAACTGAAAATGAGATAATGATCTTCCTAAGTGCTGTTATAAAGGGTGTATGTTTACTGACTCAAAAATGTGCACAAGAAAAAAATATAAATAGCAACAGTTAATTAAAAAGTATACACAATATTCTCCAGTAATGTTCAAAGAATTTTAAGTGATAGAGAAGAAAATATATTCTAAAATTTATTAATAAAGCACTTGAAGAAAAGCTTAACAGTGATTAACTCTTCTCAGCTCTTTCAGTAAAAACTACTAGGTTGGCACTTAACAGCTCTGATGAACAGCTCTGAAGTTGATAAATAACAATTTAAGAGTATCTTTGAATAAAGGCTGATATAGAGAGTCCATTTGGAAGGTTTTATGCTAGTTAAGTTTACAGAATATGAAAACTCATCCCGTTATATTGAAAATAGACACAGGTAGGACTTTACATTCTTATTAAAAACATGAATGTAACTCATTTAGCTCATAGGCTATCTTTTCTCATTCTTTTTGCCTCTAAACTCATCACTTTTAAAAAGCAAATAAGAAATCCAACACAATTTAGTGATGTACTTCATCATCTTCTTGTCAAAGCTTTAGTTTTGTGGCTAGACCCATGGGGCACCATGAACTGGAAGAAAAAGACTTATTGTCAGAGGAGAGCAGGAGGCACCTGCAACAACTGGCAAACTCTGAAATTTAGGTGCTTACTCTGTCACCCTGTTGCCTATGCACAGTCTATTTGAGATTCACACTGGATTTTGCTAAAACAGGCACCGCAGTTCAGGTTTTTGGTTACTCTCTATCAGAATATTGACTGGAAAGAGGAAGTTTCGTTTTTTTCCTGAGAAAGATGTCATAGCATGAGGGAGAAAGAAGGCCCTACTTCTCTCCTTTAGTATAGGGAGCGAGAGCAAACTTTCCTTCCTTGGAAGCTAACACAGTAACCAGCAGCAAAGAGGAATATCATTAGCTTGGGAAGAAGTGACTTTCATCACTTTGATTTCAACTGGTTTTATTTTCTTATTTTTTTGATCTAAATGAAATACATTCCTAGAAAGTACTTTGACTTTCAGTAGAACTTAGGTCAACTGATTCTTAAAACACTACCTGATTTCTACAGTATTTGACAGGTCAAAAGAGTGACCTTTGACAGTATGTGAAGAACTGGACAGAAAGGAACTTGAGTAGCAGAAGATCAATGAGTTTGTATTCAAATCTGAAATGACTTGCATATGCAGGTCAGGAAACTTAGCATTGTTACACAAAAGCAAAAAATACAAAGTCACAGTAGTCTTGACAACTTTTTAGGGGAATTGGTAGATAAACTACCATAATACCGAAAGGTCAAGCGTCCGAAGCCTGGCTGAATACAAAATATCAACTCTCACAATAATGGATTGAGGTTTACTTGTTAGGAATATTTAAGTCCATTTTAAAACACGAGAACAAATTTTTTGTCTTGATCTCATATTATCAAGATTTCTATCTTGAATGTATGAATAAGCATTCATAGTAATGAATGTAATTTACATTCATCTGAAGTAAATTACATTCCGCTTCCTCTAAAACAATTTTAGCTAAGGCATGGTACTTTTTGAGTCTTCCTGTAATCTGTCATGTAACTACGGAATTATTTGCACTGAGCATGGCACGTCTGCTCAACTGTCTTTTAGAAAAGGACACTGAATAGTTGGGGATAAAATAAAAAGAAACATATTTTGCTTCAAACAGACAAAGAAATGAATGAACTTCTATTCTGGATGCTCATTAATCTTTACTATTTCTCTGTGACATGGAGACTTAATCTAATGGCAATACTAACAATTATTGAAATGATTTTCAGAATCAATTTGTATATACAATGACTTAATCAAACCCATGCAAAAATACAATGGGCTGCCTTGATTTACAAAACTGTGGTATAAAATCAATTATTCTAGAGGTTTCCCACTGCTTATTAATTCAGAAGGGCAATTAAGTTATTTAGGGTACTAAACATCATTCACACTATAACAGACCTCTGCCAAGTTGATTTTGTAAACTCTCGGGTTTAAGATTGCTCCATTTTAAGGCACTAAAAAGCGCAACTCACCAACAGTCCATGCCTGGCTCACTCCCAAGAAATGATAATTTCCAACTAAGAGATCATAAACAACATGCAATCCAAGTACAGCTGCACAGAACACTAGCAAGGCCATGCAGAGCTGACATACAGTCAGAAGGTTATTGAAGAATACACACGTGGAGTCATATAAAGAAGTCATCCAGGTTGGTGTAGTAAAGCTAGGTATTTGTGGAAGGTTAAGAGGCAAACTTGGAACTTTTGGAAGAGCTACATTAGGAAGACTGTTGGTGATGTTCCTGTGAAGAAATAAACAATGTAGGAATATAATAAAAAAATAGAATATTTAGAGAGAAACAGGGAAGAACACTTGATTAGACAGAAAGCTATAGGTGGGAGCTTGGTTCTGATCCTGTAGAATGCACTTACTTGACAGGTTGCCATGACTCTTGTTCAAGACCTCTGTGAATGGACTGGGCAATTGATGATTCCATGAGATCAATGTAGCGGATGACCAAAGGAACAAAAATTTCTTGCAAGTGCTTGTGAAACTTCCCATTGCACAAGAACACTTTAAAAACAAACAAAATACAAACAAAAATGTCAGGGCTTTATCCCATTTATTGCTATAAGCAAAAGTATGTCTTAAAAATTTTCTGGTGTTTTATAAACATGCAAAAGCATTTTAAGGTCTTAAAATTTTTCTATCATTTTTAAAATGTGCAAAAATATTTTAAGAACCATTAAGATCCAGCCTGGGTAAGAAATACACTTCATAAACAATAGATGAAGTGCTCCATAGGGCACTTCAGTATATGCTCAATGTCTCTTCTATAAGAATTATGCACATACTTAACAGACAGATTTACACATCTTCTTAAATTTAAGAATGTGCAGTTTTGTTCAATACTTAGACACCAAAACAGAACCAAAAGAAAAAAAAACCTATATATATTTAAACACTATTTGAATGTCATTTAATTATTTTTATTTTCTTTATGCTAAGAAGAATGGTACAAAAACTCCATCACTGAAGTTGTGTGGAAAAATATAGAGATATACAGACTTTCCTCCAGGGAGTTTACAGGAAAAAGGGAGTGTGCTGCATAGAAGTGACTGGGGAAAGAGGAAATGTTCACCCAACTATTGCTTGTCTTTTGAAACTGGCAAAGTTCTGACTCTCTGCCAGTTGCTACCCAGAGCATTATATATCTACAAAACTACCAATACAAAGCAATTCTTAGTATGCCTATGTATGTTCATATATAAAGATCTCCAGAATCAAAGCCAGGTCCTGTGGAAATAATGGGCTTGAGAGGAGAGGAATCTTGTCCTTTCCCACCATGACACATGCACGAACTGCATTAAGATTCCCATCTTGAACAATATCTGCCATATTCATATGAAACTAGGCTCTAGGAGCCATACTTGCCTCTTCTCTGCCCTCTCATCTGCCTTGCAAAACTATAAAGGACTTGAACTTACAATGGAGTTTTCCCTTGGCAGGCTGGGCTACATGATATCTGAAGGTACTTTCAATATCTCCCTGATTCTGTGAACTCCCCATTTCCCTTCATTAATACTGCTAATTCTCCTTGGTATGCTTACTGGAGGGCTACTGTCACTGTAGCTCCATAACTATTTGAAGGAAGCCCTGTGAACTAGTTGCCTAAAGTCAGTCTTCCTTTCATCCCATCCTTATTCTGGTGCCTTAACTTTCCTTGTGCATTTTAGTGCTGCTCAGGCATGGTTGCACTCATCCATTTTGTCTGGAGCACTTGAGATGGGCAGTCAGCGGTAGCAGTTGCTGTCCCTAAGGAAAAAAACATTTGTACTCTTGCCTGTATGACTCATGGATTCTCTGCCATGCCCTCACTCCTCTTCCTTCATCCAGGCTACTTGTTTGACTTAGATGGGTATCACAGCATCCTAAGGATGCTTCCTCCTCTCCATAAGAAGAAAAGGCTAGACTCTAGGGCTCAAGACCTTGGAATCTATCTCATAAAGTTATGTATTGCACCCCTCTGACTCCACCACTAGTACAACTACATATATAACATAGAAAAATAATCTCTTGTTCCAGAAAATCCATTGTCTTCCAATCCTGAAGGATGGAAGTGAATCACTGAGTGAACCTGGGAGAGATGGAGACTGTGGGAAAAATGTGTCATCAAGTATTTCAGTTTATTATCACTACCCGCAGTTCCAGAAAATGCCTTTGTTGCTGAATGTCTGGACTCTAATTTTGTTTTTCAAATACAATGTTCCAAGGCTGAGAAATATTTTCTTCAAAACATCAGTCTTGCAGAGTGATAGGAAAATATGTATGAATCAGTTATCTAAGAAGACAAGATTGATGTGATCAGCTTGCTTTGTGTTTGCCCACCTGCCTCTCTCTTTTTAAGAAATCCGAAAACGCTAGCTAATTTCAGCCACATTTGACAGAGGGACAGAGATCTTAGATATACGAAGTTTCATGAAAACAGGCATCTAGGTAGCAGAGAGAGGTTAGAGTTTCCACTGAGAAATGGCAGCGACACAGACTCATCTCTTATTAAACACTTGAGAATCCACCCTGGAGAGCACCAATGAGTCCATTACAAACATGCTCCATTATTTACGCTGCTCATCAAACCGCTTGTTAACTAGCTAGTTCTGGTATAATTATTTGTATATCAGATATAAGTGTATGAGGCATTCAAGATGATGTTATTCTTTTCTTACATTCATCTATCTTAAAATCATAGCATCTGTGACCAAAAATAATGCAGATTTGTATGTTAACACAGACGTGTGGGAGTTTGCTCACATGCCGTGTGTTTCATAGTAAACAGTTGATGATACGTATTGCCTGTGAGAAACAAAAGGTGGCTGGTATCAAACTACATTAGACTGTTTTTCTTTCAAGTTAAAAATGAGCTTAAAAACAACAGGAATATAGCTGTATCAGCTAAGTCACTTTATGGGGTATCAGTGCAGGACTGGCATTAATCAGGCAATCAGAGTAACGTGAAGGGATGTTCTAGTAGTTTGCTGTTTTCTGAGGCACACTGCAGAAACAGCCTGCTACAAGCCCTGCTCAGGGAATTACAGTAATAAAGCCTCCTGGGCAGGAGAGCAGTTCTTGTTATTCAGAAGTCAGATGAAATCTGAAGAAGTTACAGCCAATAAAAGCAGTGCAACTTCAAACAAATAAACAAACAAACAAAATCATTTTCCTGGCACACTTTGCAGGGAGATAAAACTCTTAAATATGATGCCAAGACTCTTAATCTGACTGTGCCTCAAAATAGATGCCTTCTGAAGTGGGCGCACACATGACTCTGATGAACAACTCAATGAGCAGTCTGTTTTCCCAGGGTTGAGAATATGGCAGCTCTGTTACACCCATCTGGAGATCTTAGTCAAGGATTACTCCAGGGCAGGGAAAGAACTCGAAGCTGAGGGGTAAACGATATAGCTAAGTATCATCAGCAGACTCATGGCACTCTATCCTGTGATTAGAATTGATCTTGCCAAAAGGTACCACCTGTGCATCAAAGCAGATGGGAAACAAGAGATCCTTGAGGAAATGCCACACTTGAAATCCTTCAACTACCACTTGTCTTCAAAGCTATGTAGCTTAATTCTCCATTGTCTTGTCAGTATAGACATCCCATATCCTCTTAATATGAGACATCTCATATTCATACAAAACCCAACAAAAGCACACACCAGAGCAAAAACAAAAACCCCAAAAAACAGTAAGCAAGAAAGTAAGTACTGTGCATACTATATTCATGTGTATACAATAAATTAAGGTTGAAAGTAACTCAATTTACATGTCAGGTTGTTGAAATATATTAAAACATGAGACAAAAAGACCAGACATGAAAAGCACAATGTAATAATGCAGCACAGAAATGAAGCTAGCTTCTCCAAAACCAATAGAAGGAGCCACTGTGCTTATGTATATTAGAAGCACTGGGGCTTGCCTTGCTCTTACTTATACCAGTCTAACTGAGGAGTTATTCTGGAGACGAACGTGCTAAGAGTCCTCACGAGCTTCTGCAGATTCAAAGGGAAGGAAGAAAAGACGCAGGTTAACATGAGTCTCTCTTCCACCGACCAAATGTGCACTTTGGCAGACAGTCTATAATTACCCTGCTCCCTGCAGGATTCTCTGAAAGGCCCCACATGGATTTCCTGGATTTTTTTTTAGTCTGTTTTACTGTGAATTGTAGTAGAATAGTACATTTTAAAAAATGAAGTCAGAATTAAAGGCATCAAAGAAAGAAATTTCTGGGGGATTTCCATACATACTCTTCTTATAGCAGCTGAAAATCATCCAATGACCTGAACAAAGTTGGTATTTCCAATCATTCATCTCTTGTTTGGAGTATATTCTGCATCCATAAAGCATTTATTAATTTATTGTTTTTCCGGCATTTTTTTTTTCTGGCAAAAATTGCAAATGTCTGAACTTATATACACATCGGTTTGTATTTCTGCACACAAGAGATTTTTTAAAGTGAACTTTAGAGATGTATTATTTACAAGCAAACTGAAAATGTATTAAAGGATTAAAAATATCTCCCTCTCAGCACTTTCATGAAACTGCAAAGAACTTTATATTTATAAGACAGAACAACAAAAGATGTTTATTGTAGAATTTTCATGTGTCTAAAACTGTCCTTCAGTCAAAACTGATGTTACCCTAGTAAGCAATTATGTAGTTTGAATTAGTCCTCACCATTAGAAACCAAAACATACAAACTGAAGACAGGTTATGATTTCAAGGCAGTTCCTAGTAGAACTGAGCAAAATCCCTAAGTCTGTGATTTAAGAAAAGATTTCCTCTAAAATTAATGGGAGGTATTGGTGTGGGCATAGATTTTGTGCTACTTATTTAGAGCCCAAATAGTTTTCTACCTTGACTCTGTAGCTTAAGATGGGGATTTGAAGGTATTATATCCTAGTACATAGTGGTACACGGTTGTAGCAATGGCTTTCCAGAGGCTAACTCTCAACATGTTGTTTTTTCTACATTGACTTCATCACGCTGCCCTCAAATGTACTATGAGCATCCTAGAACAGGTATACAGACGTTTCACTGACTGATACTTGATGGAAAATCATGACACAACCTGGTAATGCTCCTTGCTTCCCCTAATTCAGGCCAAGGCTTGTCACCAAGTACATATGCAGTATTTATATATATGCATACATACGCTGCACAACAAACAGTGCAGTACCGGAAGTCAGCAAGTGTTGCTGATAAGACTTAATTATGTTCCACATTAGAACAGAAAGTGAACTTGGAAAAGGAAAGTGCAGAATGGCCAAGTGTATAAACACTGATGAAGGAATGAGGCACGTGCCACTAACAGATCTCTCCCACTCCATCTTAAGCCAAAAAGAATTAATTCATGGCTTTCCTGAGACTGAACAAAATATGTATAATACGAAAAATTAAACAACTGCAGAAAACTACCCTCTCTAACATCATAATACAATGTGTAAGTTCAGTAGACAAAAATTAACAATATCTTTACAGAGAAGGAGTCACAACCCCAAGACAAACAGGTCATTCTTCCCTCTAAAAATACCCAACCGTGGGAAAACATAACTTTGCTATATAGAGAAATTGGGTACTGTTACTTCTGCACAACTTATAAAGCTTTATAAATCCAGGCATCACCACATAAAAACCACAGAAACTTTGGTGATCTTGAAAGGGTACATTATAAAAGCCGCTATAGTAAAAAACATTATATTTTGAAAAATCACAACCAATTTATCTACAACTTATCTATTTCCACACAAAATGTCAAATGTGTTATCACATTTCAGCATCTGTCAGCTCTCATCAGAAGAACTGAAATATTTTATACGATGGGAGAAACATGCCACTCCATTTTTTTAAATAGATCTTCAGCTTAGACTTAAAATAACAGAACAATCACTGATGTACTCAGTACAAATCCCTTAAATTACACAAAATAAGGTAATAAAAATCTAAGTTTAAAGTGACTCTAAATGAGTCCTTTGGAAGGAAAAGGGACGTTTCAGTACGTTCTGAAGTACAACGGACAGGAGGCTTCATACAGCAAGAGCTGCAGAAAAGGTGCTCTCAATATCAATTACGATGGCAGGTCAGGTTCTGGGCCTGAATTTTGAGCATCACAAACTGTTCAACAGGAAAAGTCAGTGAGAGAAAAACGCAAAATTCCTGGGCGATCTGATCACGGCCACAATTGACTGAAATATCACTATTTTCTTACTCTCAGAGGAGTCTGAACAGACTTGGCATACGGTAGTTTATGTTGTATGGCCTGAACTTGGGAACTGCCGTTTAAAGATTTTCTCTTCAGCTGTTATCTACTAGTTCACTGGATAAAAAAAAGCTTTTTTACATCATGAAAAGTTACATACTATATCAGATAATGCACTTTTTTTCTCCATTGTTAAATTTGTATTAGCCTTGATGTATTTTGTTTGAATCTTGTACAATGCTTTGTATTCTACGTAAAATAAAACACACTTGATATTATTTCAGTAGAAAATACTGCATTCTCATTACCTTTCTAATACTATTTTTTATTGACATATTTACAAAGATAATCTTACATGAAAGTTTTCTTTAATGCTCTAAATGATAGATTGTTTCTTTATTGTTAGGAGTTCATTCCTGTCAGGTTTACATGAAATCCGACTCCTTCATCTAAGATTTTGAGCTCATTTAAAGCTCTTGAGATAGAATAACATGCAGGTGTCACTCCTCCAAATTTCACTGAAGATTAACCTAATATGCAATATGGTGACCTAACAGTTCTTCATTTGAAAGAAATCTGAAAAGTAATCTCTGATATAGCTGGAGAGTGAGAATAACCCAGTGGGATTTCCACCTCTTCATTTCCTAATGAGTTTTTTGATAATGAGAGGTGACTTTGCCAGTCACTGTGGGCTCTATTATGGCTAATTTACTCCACTTCACTCTCCTTGTTAATTATTAACACTAGCCTTTTTATCCTCATGAGACCACATTCCAGTTTTTCCTTTTTATTTTTTTACTAAATCTATTTTTATGAAGGTGATAGTTTTCAGGGAAAGGTTTTCACTTAGAATAACGCCAGAATTATTTATTTCACTTAGGAAGACTGTAAAATTGATTACCTAAGCATGGGGAGCTCTTTCTAATGGCTTTAATGTACTTGCCATGTGAAAAGGCTGTTAATTAAAGAATAAGCACTGTGGTATGCTTCACTAGGGAATCAATTGGTAGAATGGTCACTTGCCACTTGCTGACATATCCACCGATTAAAAGGTGACTAATTTCCAGGGTTGCTTTCCAATAGTTCTGAAAGGGGGGTGGGAAATCTCTATAGTTTTCCAGATGGCTTTCACTCCCCAGAAACTGTCATTTACCATATCTATTACCATTGGGGAATTACTGAAATTGGTATACAGGTGTGACATTTCATACAGCAGTCGTTTTTCTTCCTTCATTTAACATTTTACGGTCTTGCTAATAATTGCTTTGACATGAAAAAAACATGTCCCCAAGTTTTTGTAAAATGTCTTTCATAAAAATCATTTAATCATCTAGCATTATTATCCGCTTAATCTTTCAAAGACAGAAAAGTTAATCTCCAGCCTATCAGTAAACCCTTTGCATTTAAGGACAGCCCTTGTTTCTTTCTATTAACTGCATTGTTTTGAAATCAATGGAGAATAGAACACAAATGACATAATAAAGTCATTAAAACTTGTGTCGTCATTTCTTCTTGAAAACTATTGCAAAATTCTCCATAGCTTTCATAAACTATTTTTCTAACTGCACGTAATATCAGATATAGAGATGTGTCTACTAAACAGAAAATGTAAGATGGTGACAGCCACTAGACGCACTGAGATGTTTCCTTATCATGCAGCAGACACTGCTATACAATTCCCATTGCTGGCTTCAGCACTCACCAATGATAACTGGGGACAATAGGCCAGACCCAGAAGTTGCAGCAGCTTCCCACAGTGAGCAAGCAGATCCTAGTCGTTCAAATCCAGAACTATAGTTTACAACCCATGGAGTCGGTGGCCCAGGCAATTAACCATAGAAACATTCATTTTCTGCAGGTATCTCCCTCTTTGACTTTTGCAATCCATGAGCATCTAGTAATTATATTCCACTAGGTATATAATTTCAGCTGGAACCACACTCATTATCTAGAAACTAGGTAGGATCGAAGGGCTCAGTACACTGTTGGGATTAGCCATGTAGAAAGTGCAATCACTCCTTTCATTTCAAAATGCAGCTGAAAGCAAAAGAAATGGTAGCAAGGACTTGCAGCAAAGTAATGGTTACAGAAATTTTCAAGGAACAGAAGAGCTGGTTTTAACTAACTCCTCACCCTAGATGGATTTAAATCCACATTTTGGATCTACATTTTATTTAAGCAGTACAGCTTATGGAGACAATGGCATTCCAGACTCAATCCTATGGCGTCCTAAACTGAACAGTGCCATTGAATGAAGGTGTTGCAAACATTGTTAAGAGTCACAATGCCAGCAGAGGAGACATGGATTTCTGGAATTGCCCCTTGATAACGAAGACACAGCTGAGACCTCGGGAGCAGGGAAGTTCTGAGGAGCAGATACAGACTCATTCTGAAATTGATTCCTCTCCTTACAATAACAGGGCCACAGTCCAGACACAGTTGCCTGTGGTTATCATTTCCTAATTGCTAACTTTTGCCTCTCCTCTGCTTAGGAGATAGGATTTTTTTTTTTTTTTTTGGAAACCCTTGTCTAATTCTCACCATGACCTGAATAAAGGCTCCAAGTTTTTCAATCTGGATTAGACAACTATTTAAGGTAATGCAGAACCTAGCGTGAAAGAACCTAACTTATTAAAAAGACCTGGGGATTCTGTCCTCCGGATGGAATAATCAGGCTCCAATTACATGGCATGGCAATTTTAATGTTTGTGGAGCCGCTGCTTGTTCAACAAGGTTTACACAGTGAGCAATCTCTAATGTCTTAAACTATGGCAAACACTAATAAATACATTTTCTGTCACTAAAGATTCATGTGAGAATAGAAATGAGCAGGAATATGGAATTTCCTGAGCTGCTAAATCTCAGGGTATGGAAACACGATTAAACATTCACGAAACCCCCTAACACTGGATGCTACTCTTCTTTTGCCCAAGACAGTGAGGTGTAGAAACAATGACTCTCCTGTCTCAGTCATGCTCGAGATTAAGCTTTAATTAGTGGCCCTGTCCACTTGCCCTTTTCTCTAACCACCAAGTTAGTCACCTATGGTGTTACTGTGAATTGTACATTTGCTAGTCGCTCCTTTTCCTGATATGGTGCTATACTGAGGTGACCTATACATTTCGATAAACACTTGGTAGATGAAGGCAACAATAATACAATGATAAATAATATAAGTTGCAATACGTGTAACCTTGGAGAAAAGCTCTTGAATACTATTTCCATTCTCTCAGTCACGCATTTTCCATACACGGTGGTAAAATTCTTAACAGCTATTGAATTTCCACAGAAATGAAATGGGTTTCCACAGAGATAGTTAAAAATGATCCGTTGTTCATAGGAAATTTTATAACAAAAAAAAAAAAAAAACAAAGCTTGGAATAACCTGAACCATGGAATAAAAAAAGCATTTGTTTTTCCAAATAAAAAAATCAGTAACTCATTTTCTTAATTCTTTTACTTATAGAATGTGAATAAGGAATTAAAATATAACACGAATATACTTTTATCTTTATGATGTCTTAAAGTATTAGAAAAAAGCATCTGCCTTTAAAGTGCCATTTTTTTCTTTAAATATTACCTATTCTATTTTGTTGAGTTTTATTGAGTTTCCTTAATTCCATAATTAAAATTCCTTTCACACAAAATATAAGCAAGATAACACAGACATCTTGAATTCTGATCGCTATAGAAACAATAAGAGCACACCATGTGGAAATAACACTCTGATTTCTTGTACAACTCTTACCCCAATAACATTAAGCCTGTAGTATCTTTATGAACATAATTACTGGTCTGAAAGTAACTTAAATGAAAGCTTATAAAAGAATTTTAACTACAATTTTATTTTGGCACTATAGATTAAATATGAAATGTTAAATCATTTGATGCTTCTTGTATGCATTTCCTTAAAAGTAAGCAATCTGAGAATAGGTAAGAAATATGAGAAATATGCCAAAATAAGGAATTAGATGTTGCAAGCATAGAGAGAGAACTCCTTAATTTCCAAGAAGTGAAGCACCCACTATATTCATATATACATAAAACAAACTGGGGCAGTGCCACTTTTATTTAGGTGGTTATATTCATTAAAAACATATTTCTAAGGTGTGGGGAGAGTGAAAAATCCTGTACACACAATAAACAAAAATCTTAAGATCTTACTGTCATTTTTCAGTGAGTTATTCAACAGTTGGAAAAGTGGGAAGCTGTCCCAGGAGTCCTGTGGCTGTACCTCAAGTGCTGAATCCATATCAACAGAATAAAGAGACAAAAACTTCTCTGCATGCTCAGCCAATAATTCTGGCCACCAAGCAAATGCCTACAAACACGTCAAAACAGAATTATTAAGCACAAGTCACAAAGCAAAGAAATGCATTGTATCTATAACAAAACACATTTGGATACGCCACATCATCTTTTTCTCTTTCAGAGGAATGAATAGGCCAAGGGAAAAATGTGAAAACATTTTATAAAACCTTGCATTGAGAATGTAAGAAATCACATGAAAATTGTGTTGGGAAAGATGATACAATTAGGATAAAAATATAAAACTAAAAAGAAAAACAACTGCTCTCACCAAAAGACTTGTTCAGAACTCCTTTTTAAAAAGAGCATACAGCCTAGTGACTATTTTCGACAGCAAAGAAAAAGACTTCTTGAAAAATAACACTATGCTTCTTTATGAGTTCATTCAATTCTAATGCTATCAGTAATCAGAATAATTAATTTATTTTTCAAATAAATTTAGCATTAGAATTTTGCTCCATTTGTTAATCAGATGGGATGGTTTTAATGTGAGATATTAATCTTTTAATTCTAAGGTTTTATTTTTATGGATACAGATTGTTTTAATTCCTCATTTTGCCTTAAAATTGTAGACTTCTCATGATGAAGTTATCCAGTTTTCCTTCAGCTAATGCTATAAATACATCGCTAGAAGTTCACTGATGTCTATAATGATTTCTAGTAACTTAACTATTTTAGAATATACAGCTTTCTTCAGTTAAAATGTAGTTTCTTAGATAATCATAGCTCAAAATGAGAAGTTTGTGTGAAACCAGCGTGTCAGCAATTAAAGATAATTCTGCATTAAAGGCTGTTTCACTTCTACCTTTTGTCACATATACGAGGCAGGAAAATGCCTTTGCTTTCAAAAGTAGCTCCCTACTTCCAAATATCTCCATTTTTCAATTACCAACAGAGGATACATATGGCTTTATCTATACAAGTGCTGAGTTCCCATGATTTCAACTAAAGTCACTCAGATCTTCACTTACATTTCAGAAAAGCAAGTCCTAGCAAAGTAGAATTATGCATCCAGAGCTGAAAGGTATCAAATAAGGGAACGCTTTCAAAAACAGGACCACAAATGTGTTCTTGCATCCTGGACTTTCTGATGGCTCCCTATAATGCTTTCTGATATTAGGCGAATGACTGCAGTTTTCTCCTGACTGCACAGAATCACAGAATCACAGAATGGTTCCAACCTTAAGGTTGGAAGGGACCTCTAGAGGTCATCTAGTCCAACCCCCCTGCACACGCAGGGTCACCTAGAACACGTGGCACAGGACTGCGTCCAAGCGGGTTTTGAAGATCTCCAGAGAAGGAGACTCCACAATGTGTCTGGGTAACCTCTTCCAGTGCTCTGTCACCCTCACTATTAAAAAAAAATATTCCCTAAATTCCTGTGGAACTTTTGGTGTTTCAGTTTGTGGCTATTACCTCTAGTTGTGTCAGTGGCCACCACTAGAAAAGAGGCCAGCACCATCCTCCTCACTCCCTCCCTTGAGGTACTTAAAGACACTGATCAGGTCCCCTCTCAGCCTTCTCTTCTCCAGGCTGAACAGGCCCAGCTCCCTCAGCCTCTCCTCATAGGGCAGATGTTCCAGGCCCCTGATCATCCTTGTAGCCCTGCGCTGGACTCTCTCCAGCAGCTCCACATCCCTCTTGTACTGTGGAGCCCAGAACTGGACACAGTACTCCAGATGCGGCCTCACCAGGGCTGAGTAGAGGGGCAGGATCACCTCCCTCGAAAGGGCTTTCACAGGAAGGGTATGTTGTATATAACCTCTCTTAAAAACACTCCTTCCCCCCATTCATTACCGTTAAGAAGAAATTAAATGAAACAAAGAAATTTGTCTGCTCATCCCAAGGAGAAGCCCGGCAGAGGGGTGAGCGGCTCCGAGGGGACCTTGCACAGACGGCTGCAAGCGCGAGCAGCAGCACTGTCAGTGCCCAAACCCAGCAGGGGCTCTGCTCTGCTTCCCTGCAAGTCCCGTGACATTATCCACAGCTGTATCCTACGGGAGTAAGTTCCTTCCCGAAGCAGCTGTCTCCTTTCCTCCTTCCTGCCAACACACAACCCAGCCACCAGGCACCGAAACCACCCGCGGGGAACCTTCTTCTGCTTGACCATTGCCACAAGCTCCTTGCAGCAGGAGAAAAGAGGAATCAGAGAGAATTTTCAAAGAAATTTTGAGCATTCTCTGCTATTACTGAAAGGCTCTTCATGCATTACAATGTCAAGACTGAAGGATGCTGATTGGCATCACAGTGAAAAGGACAGATGAGGCTTCAAAAATTTTGGCAAGAGTTTGAAATGGAGTCTTTTCCCTCAATCTGGAAGAAGTTTCTCATTAGCGAAACCCATTTAAATGGGAGCTCATTAAAAGAACAACCTTCTTACCCTAGAAAATAACTAACTGCAAAGAAATAGAGAAAGAAGAAAATAACTGTATACAGGCAATGGCAGGTGTCCCTTCCAGGCAAACAAAACTCTCTTCAGAACATATTACCACATACCCAAAACAAACAAAGCGAAAGTAAAAGAAATGAGAAAAAGAGCACATTCTCTTTCCATCTTCTTCCTCTTTGCAAATGACATTTTGAATTAAGACAAAAATTCTTCTGACCCTCTCAAGAATTACCCACCACTGCTGGGGGCAGCAAGTAAGAAGAATGGAAAAACAAATACAACAGCAAAGGTTGTTGTTCAGTCATTATGGAGAATATGAAAACAGGCTCAGGCAATTAGCAGCTGGTGACATACATTTAAAGAGAACAAAAACATTGACCTGATTAAAGACTAACATTCTTAGATTATAGAAAGACACACAAATGTGGCAATGCAAAACTAGAAGTGATCAGAACAATTTATGCTGCACATTCAATTACAGATTAATGCTAAAAAGGGTGAAAAATAATCTTTAGTTGTTCACGAATCACGTACCTCTCTTCCCTGTGGAAATCCCAGAAATTTGGAAATGTTACAAATTAAAAAAAAAAAATAGTATTAAAAATGCGATGTTACTATTTTGGAGACTACTGATACTTTTCTTGCATCAAACACTGAACATTTACTTAAAATTATGATGTAAAGTCACCATACTTAATCTTTAGTTTTGATTAGGAGAATGCATATTTTTTTCTCACATATACTTCAATATCAAAAGTTGCTATGTTTTATAAATTTCATTAAAATTGAGCATTTAGTGCACGATTCAAAGGCGAGGAAAATAATTTTAACATTATAGTTAGTCTTTTCAGGCTATCTTAGAATAGAAACACTGAATTGGTTTTGCTAGAGACAAATGGAATACATTTACCCTTCTGAAATATATCACATCTTTGACTGCAAATAAGTAGTAGAGAAGGCAATCTATGAACATGATGTTTAGCCATACATGGTATCATTTGATAGTTTTTTTTTCTGTGTGTGTTTACCACAGAAGCCAAATATTCTTACATTAATGCAATTTTTCAAAAGACAAAGAAAAACAATATATACATTTTATTTAGTAATCATTACAGAGCAACACAGTGGCAACAGCAGTGTAGAATGGGACCTCAAGGGAATTCATTTCAAATCGTGGACACAGCTGTTTCTTCAGTATAAGATAAAATATCTATAACAAGTTCACACATGGCAGATGTAAGCTAAAAACTAGATTCTACAGTGTGATATAAAACCAGATGTTTTGGATGATCATATTTATAATTACATATAGCAGATCATGTTTATTGCTTTCCATATTTTCCTCAAAAATATTGATTTTTTGTGAACTTTTTTAAAAAACAATTTCCTGAACCTTAGAAAACTAGATTTATTAAGTAAATGTTAATAATACATATGATTACATGTACCTGGTCAAGTTTATTTTTCTAATACCTTGCTATAAAAGGTGCTATAATTCTAAATATTCTAAATATTATGGTTTTTGTATCACAAAGCAAAAGACTTGAAAGTAGGAAACATGAAATTGCTCCGTTTTATCTCTTCTACCTTATCATGACATTCTAAAATCTGCCAGTTTAAAAGTGGTACTTTTCCAATCAAAAGGAGAGCAATGTGAATGTGATTATTTTATCCATCATTATTTTTATGTTAAAATCAAGGTCCATACAGCATATCAGAAACTAATATTCAGTTAACTTTTTTTCCTACTTTGAATTGAGAGGTGAAAAACTGGAAGGAACAACTGTGTAAGGCTACGAATGCTTTCCATACCATTTCACCACCTCCAGCACAGAGATCCTTTCTCTATTTTATGCTATTCAATTTTCATTTCTAAACCTACAGTTCACTCAAGCGAATTCAAGTAGAGTTTTATTTCACTTCACTTTTCATAAGCTTCAAATTTCTTATTCCTCTGTAAATGTGAACTGCCTTAAACATATGTCAGAAAGTAAAGTTAAAATGTTTCTTGACAGAATTACTTCACATCAGGGAGAAAAAATGTAGGAACAAACTATCCTCTACGGAAAATGCAGTCAGAGCCTCACCTCTGAATGATGTTCTTCATTTTGCTGCAATACTTCGATACAGAGTTCTGCCAGGTGAAGAACCTCTTCCAGTTTCTTTGCAGGTGTTGCTTGGTTCATGGCCTCTATATGATATAGCATACAAATCAAAATTGTGTCAATGAGAAACAAAACACAATAAATACATTCAAATATTCACATACATTCAAAAGTAAGAGAAAATGAGAAAACAGTACAAAGTTGTAATTTTCTGTATAAACAATTCCACGTGGTAAGAATAATCAAATAATACATGCAAATGCAGCATGAATCTGAATGCTCAGATCACTAGAAACAAAAAATAATAATTCACAAAAGAATCATTGATCACTATAAGCATTTTCCAATTTAATATGTGAGAACTAACAGGTGCATCAATGTATTAGATGCTCAACTTCTGCAACAAGCAACTTCTAATTCTCCTCAAGGTCAGATATACAAAGACAGCAGACACTAGAGACCTTTTCTGTTACTGTACATTCAATACAATGCCATTCTCACTAGATGAGTCATTACTGTCACTGCATCAGCAAGAGTCATGAATTTTGCAGCATCAAAATTCCAAACATGTTTTATCCAAGTATCTAAATTTTAGGTGGATTTAAAAATAAGAAGAGACACAACAATTGTTCAAATAACTGATTTCTCTATGATTCTCCCTGCTTGCAATAATAGGTCTAATCTAATGGTTCTTTTCAATATATAGTGAAAAGTAACACTATGAATAAATACGTTATAATAAAATTGACAGAAACCTACTAAAAACTCCACATAAAAGAAAGCAGGCACAAATGAAATGAGGTTCAGTGATTCTACAGAATGGACCTCAAAAGTGAGCAAAGAACAAAGGTAAAATTCATGTAACTAAAACTGTTACAGGGCAATTAAATGAAGTTGAAACTAAGAAAATAACCCATAAGACTATATCCCAGGAGTAGTCATGGCAGATAGCAAAGAATAACTGATTCTTTTTGCAAACAATTTTTAATTAGTTAATTAAGGATATTTGTCTAACTACTACATTAGTATCTCTTAGAATAACATCAATATAGCTATATGAGCTTGTCCATTTAGCAAGCTGCTTGTCGCAGAGCCTAAACAATGGGGTGGCAATCATAAGCATATATGGTTCAATATAATCATATAAAAATATTTTTATTCTAAGTTTGAATAAGTTTGCAGATGACTTCTAAAGCTGATAATACAAAGTGAGCGGGGACCTCAGAAGGGTTGTCTCCTCATATTCTGTGCATATTCGTAGATCACGTGCCTAGTGAATCACATGAATACGCATCACATGCAGAAAATTCTGCTGATATGTCTTTCACACTTGATGTAGCCATCATGACATAAAACATTGAAAGATTATTTAAAAACTTACATAATCTTCTTGGTGTTAGTAATAATATCAAACTGTAATCACTAAATATTTTTAAAAACTTAACATTTTTGACGGGTCAAAAAAACTTTTCAAACAATACAAAGGTGAACTTGTCCAGCTCTTCAAGACTAACACACTGATGCACAGTAGCTTGAAGAAATATAGCTTTAATGCAGTTTTTGAAGGAAGATTGGATTAGAATTCTAAATGACTATGACTAAGAGGTGACTATGAAAATGCATTACTATGAAAAAAGACAAAGCAGGCAAATTAGTTCCTGAAACAACTGATTTTAAAGCAAAAAATAATCAAAGCTCATTAAACACCACATAACCAGACATATTCAAGTAATACGATTTTTGATAACAAAATTTAACCAAAGAAAGAGCTACCATATGAACATGGACTACATACAAAACACACAGAACACAAAATGACATTCGCAATATTGTATTGAATTTGTAAATTTGATATTTTATACGAATATAAGTACTATTATATTGACGCATGAGGTTGACAGAGGATAAAAAGGACTTGTCTCACTCCTCCTGTTTACGTTGTAGTATAATGACTACTTTTGAATTCAGACTTTTTATGCTTATGCCTTATTGAAACTGGTATTTCCTTTGGTGGTCACTGTCTTCTCCTCCCTGAACATGCAGCAAATACTATCCACAGTGCTAGGAGGGGTCCACTTACATTAATGAGTCTTAGGAAGAAACCAGTGATATTAATATGACTGATACATCTGATTTCGGAACAATATATTTTATTACAAATTCAGCCTGTTTTTATATACCTTGGCACTAACAAGGTAAACAAAATAACTGCAGTCATAATTTTATTTATTCCTAATGAACTTTAACTACGCCATAAACTTTTCAAAACTTATATCCTACAAGGCTCTTCTAAATTAGTGGAAACTAACCAATATTAGTGGAAATTATACTGACTTCTAGTTCCCATTTTGTAGCAGTGAGACTTGAAAATAAATCATTTATTCTGCACACAGAATACATTCAAGAAACTATCAGAGTTCTTTTCTAAGAAGTCAAGAAGACTTCAAGAGCAGGAAAAAGGCCACAGATTTACTTGTTGACTGTTAAGATTATCCTGAATCACCACTGCAATGAGATCATGATGAAGAGAAATGTGGTCTCAGGAAGGTATTAATTCCATCGAACAAGGCACCGGGGAAACCTCATAGAGTTCTGGTCTTCTGTTGAAGTGACAGATTTAAAACAGAAATGGCCTTGAAAGAATGAGCAGGAATGGAGAATTTTTATGGTCAGGTCAATGCTAGTGCAAAAATAAATCAGTCAGGAGTAAGTTACTTAGACAATAAATTGCAAGGACTCCTTATATTACAGGACTCAGGTTTGGAAATAGTTTTTTGAAAAGATTAGTACACAGAGGAGTAAAAGGGCAAGACACCTAAGTTTCCTGTAAAGATGAGTGTGGCAAGTTTCTGAATGACTTAAAATGATTAAAATGCTGGAGAGATTAGTGATTTCCAGTCTCACATCTCTATGAAATTCCCCGTGCTACTGAAAACATGTAATTTATTCAAATAGTTTTCAATACTACCTTAAAAAAACCATTGTTTTTCTACCAGATTACTGATTAGAAAAGGCAGCAGATAATTGGATTTCCTTTACCTCCTTGAGCAAGTCTCACTATTTTGTTGCCATTCCCTTATGTGAAGAATACATAAATATATGCATTTTCATTTGGATGTTTTATGTTTCTCTGAAGCTTAGGCATCATTTTGCATTTGTTAATTAGTACACCAATGTGGCTTCAAAATCTACCAAGTATGTGTTTATTGATGGTGTCATCATCATTTACATGGGTGCATAAATAGGGCCCACCAAGTTATTCAAGAGAAAAGGAGCTTTTTTTTTTTTCATCTGAAGGAAATAATGTGCTTGTCTTTATAAGTACTGTTAAAAAAATTGCAGGAATGGAAATAAGTGCTGTCAGTTTTCATTATGTTCCTGATGTCTTTCTGCTCACAATTACAAAAGGTTGTTACGATGCGTTTACATTGCTCAAACTAACAAGTTGCTGCAGGAGTTGAGTCGGTAAATAAACTGCTTGACATCTTTTAGCAAATAAACAGAAAAAGCTACCGGTCACCTGTTCTCAGCTTCCCATTCTGCCCAAATTAAAAAAAAAAAAAAAGGCAAGACAGGCTTTGCAGATAATGGATGCTTTCTCAAGTATGCATTATCCATGAGTCACACAGGTACCAAGAAAACATTGTTAACTGAGCTAAGTTAACCGACTGAAAAAGCCATTGAAATGAAAAGGTGACTGCTTCATGGACCAATGCAGTTTAAGACCAGAAGGGACAGTTAGATCATCTAGTCCGGGTCACAGTATTTCTTCCTGCTCCCCCTTCATCAAGATCAGCTGCACCAGACTATTTTGCAGAGCTTTTCTTTCAAGATAAATAAAAATTCACTTTGTCCACCTCACCCCTGTCACCAACATGTAAGTATCCTCACTGTTATGCATATCACACATATGTGTTTAGTTTCTAATTACATTTGCTTGGCCTTAGCTTCTAGCACTTTGGTCTTAGTATGCCTTTCTTTCCCAAAGGAAGAATGCTTCATTATCTGTTTATTTCCTCTGGAAAGATATTCTGCACTCTGAAATAAGTCACTTCTCAGTCACCTTTACAGAACTGACTGAAGTTTTCAACTGTCTGCTTTTTCCAGTCACCTGCTTTCTCCAGCCATATATATACACACACAGAGCTCAAAAATCTATCCATGTTCAAACAGATCTTAAAAACACCATCTACATTACGATCTAACAGTCAAGTACTTACCTATGCCAGGATGCTTTCACCATCCTCTCTACTCACACTGCCCTGCAACGTTCACAGGCCAATACTGTGAGACATTGATGATCTGCTGCTCTGCTTTTACCCTAATTTGGTTTCAAGATGAATGTCTTCCAGGTAAAATGTGATATTATGTACATGTGTCCTGCCTCCCTTTTTAGGGCAGTGTGCAACCTTGCGTTTGTTATATTAAAACATATCAAACTTGAAAGAGCTGAAGTTGCCAAGCAAACCAGATCACTCCAACTGCTTTGCTATCATTTTTTTTTCCAAAAATCTTTGCATTACCTGGCATCTTTAAGAAGAGATTTTGTATGTACTCCCAAATGATGACGGAAATGTGAAATAGCACTGGGTCTAATACAACTTCCTGAAAATCTCTCCTAGAAATCTGCTGATTTAATGGCAATTATTGTTTGATGTCTGCTTTCTGAGGTTTCTCAATTAACCCATTCTTAATTATTTTCAAGCCTATTTTCATGATGTTGCAAGTGCTATTGTTTTTTAAAGCACTGTTATTCAGTATTATATCATATTCTTAATTAGGCTCTAGTACAATTTGTTTTGTATTTCCAAGTGTTCCTGCTTGGCCTTCAAGCACATATTCATGGCACATATTCAGTCCTGACAGCTGAGCTTCTGAGGGTGGGGAAGGGAGTGAGTGACTGAGGAATTATGTCTTACCAGGATATGCAGCACCACTTTGATACAGATCAAGGATGAGTTACATGCCGAAACAGGGACACGGAGAAGGCACTCTGGTGGTTGTATTCTTCACCCAATGGCCAGTCACAGGAACCCACTGCACATGTGTGAACAGTGTGAGGCAGGAAGGTGGCCTGACATTGGCC